TCTAGAGGTGGTAAAGAGTAAGATGATTTAGTCTCTGAATATTTACTTGCCATTGATCTAATCCTGAGATGCTGCAGTAAATGGGATATTGCTTTTGACTTACAGAGATGCTGGATCAAGCCTACAGCGATTAACATTCAACATCTGTGCTTCAATCAAGCTACTTTTCTGTAGTAATAACATTTATGCTGAAACTTCTTCTCCTTCAGTCACTGATCTTCAGGCTTATCTGCCTTAGCCTGGTGTAAATCCAGGGTAACCCTGTTCTTATTGGAGCTATTCCTGATCAGCACGGGTTTAAATGAAATCCGAATGTGACCCACAGATGACATCATTTCAGGCCCTGTAAAGATCAGAGCTATAACACAAGTTCACTGGTATTGATCACCTCATCCATGCCGACAAGAACAAACAAAGCAACGGGGCTGAGACACTATTGCGTTTTAATTCCTCGACATGATAAAATCTATTGTGCAGTGGGGTCTTCAACAGTCTCTGTTTCTAGGCATTGTTTCCATGGGGGTGGGAACCACTTACCTCTGCTGGCCCATCCTCAGGGTTTCTCCTCCAAATCCATAAAACATGCAGGCTTGGCATGTGCTGCGCTGGGAGAGATTGATTGGAACCAGCCTGAGGGATGGAGAACATTTCACATCCAAGGAGAGAGTGACTGGTCAGGAAAACAATCCGAGCCTTGGGAAACCGTATCTGCTGACAGATGGAGCAGGTCATCTGTGTGGACAGCCCATCTTCTAGATGGGGGGATTTTCCCAAGACACCCAGAAAACCCTGTTCATGAACAGCAGCTCAGTGCTACCCCAGGTTCACATCCCACCAGGACTGGTACCTTCATGTTGGATTGGGCACCCAACACTGAGTTGCTGTCAGCTCAGAGCCCACCCAGGGTTTTCAGAGCCCATTTCCACCAGCACCTTGCCGTGCCCATGGGAAAGATGAAGCACCACCAGTGATGAGCAGCATGGGACCAACCCGAATGCACCAATGCAGAGCTGGAGCTAAGTGGACCCTTATCCAAAACTGCTGCTGCTTGGTCACATCTTGGCAGTGTTCAAGGCCAGGTTGGACGAAGCCTTGGGTGAGATGGTGTAGTGTGAGGTGTCCCTGCCCATGGCAGGCGGGTTGGAACTGGATGATCTTAAGGTCCTTTCCAACCCTAACTCTTCTATGATCTTGAAGGTCACAGGTGAGGCCAGGCAAGGAGAAACCAGTGCCTGCCACCTCACTGGCCCTCCTGGCCACGTTCACACCTCCAACCTTGTGACCCCTCAGGAAATCCTCCCACTAGAGGGCACTGGGAGTCGATTTTCCATCCCCTCCTCTTAGTTTCTGCTCTTTATTCGAGTTTCTCCTTGCTTAGTGTTCTCCCCACCTCTCCCTCCTCTTTGCTGGCCAGCTCAGGCTGTTTAAATTGGAAATTATTTGTATTACTGTCTGTAAATAATAGATGAGGGAGTGAAGTGGAGTTGGTGTCCCTTCCATAAACTCCTCCTCACTTTAATTAGTGCGAAACAGCCTGGTGAGAATGCGAGCTGCCTTGATGCTGGTAATTAAAATTGAAACCACTGAAAAGCTGCTCTATTTTTTATCGGAGCCGGGAGCCTGCGGACGGCTCTGCAGTAAAGAGTGATAATGAAGGTGTGAATTCCCGGGGGGAGGAGGGGCAGCTGTAGCGATGGCTGAACTTACACCAGATGAAAATGCAGGAGCAATTAGAGGTGGCTGTGTACAAGCTGGGCATCGGAGATTAGTTGGCACCTTGGGAACATGGCGGGGAGGGACAGGGAAGGGGGAGGGATTATTTTTATTCCTTTTTGGGAAATTTTAATAATAACAACAACCAAAACAAAAAAAAAGGGGGGGGGGGGAATGGTTCATAACGTAAAATAAAGACAAACGGGCACAGTGTCGCTGCCTGGCCCTGCCGGTCTGTCTGAGCAAGGGGTGGTGGGAGATGGGGCTGCAGTACAGCACGTGCAGTGGGAGACAGCAGAGCCCCTTGCACTGGGGGAAATGGCCACTGGCCACACCGGGGTTTTTGGCAGTTCCATGGCTGCCCTTGCAGCAAAGGCACAGCCCCTGGGTGTGTTGCTCCTGAACATGGGCTCCGTGCATCTGAATTTCTCTGTGTGTCCTCGCTCCTGCCCACGGGACTGATCCAAAGCTAAGCAGTGTCCATTGAAGGCTTCCTCTTATCTTCAATTAGGCTTTGGACTGGACCCCATCCCTGAAAAACAATCACTGTTAACTTTGGGATGCGAGAGCGATGGCAGCAGTGACAGGAGATGGAAGAGCGCAGGCAGAGGCCTTTGTTATTGCAAGCCAAGGAGGAGTTTGGGAAGAGCTGCTCTAAGTAATCAGATGTTTTATTAATTGCTTCCTGCCCTGGCGTGTTCATCCTAGTGTGGGCTCCACTGAACAGCTGATAGTCTCTGCTCAGCAGCAGAAAAGATGTCAGATAATATAATGTACTCAGTCAGAGCTGCGAGCCTGCACGATCTTCTTCTGGCTACAGTCACCTTGCAAGGAAAACGCTCCCTGTGAACAAAAAAAGCATGTGAGACAGCAGTGTTTTGGGGGAAAGATGAGCTCCTCCATCCTCAGGGAACTAATGGGTGCCTCTACCCAAAGGGCACCTTGTTCCACCCTGATTCATTAGCTGCTCAGACACTAGGGAGCACCTGAAGGTGCCAAATTGTCTTAATTTAGATTGAAGTTTTGAGGAAAAGAAATTGAAGAAGTAAATAACCTACATGGAATCAGTTGTGGTTTCAGAGGGTCGGTTGTTGGATGCTGCCTGGATCATGAGTTACTTCCAGAGGCTGGAGCTCCATGGCAGTTTGTAATGCCATTCCCGTTGTGAGCTTGGCTTTTGAAGTAGAAGCTCAGACTTTCTATGGGAAGTTTCAATATCTGAATGAAAAGCCAAAATTTAAAAATTGCTATGAAAGCAACAAACTTAACGTATCCTGTAATATCGTGATCTTGAAAGAGGTTTAAAATAGCTTGGGTGTTAGTGTTCTTGTGCACTAAAAAATGCAGACCAATTGCTTAATTTGAAACATACATTTAGACCTTACCAGAATGAAGGATTCTGATCTGTTTTCATTGAAATGTTCAGCACAGATTCCTAGCAGACTCCATGTCTTTGTGGAATTAGCATTTCCTTGCAAAAACCTGCTCAGCTCTGGTATCTTATCTTTGTCATTGACTCACAGTAACAAAATGTTTTCACACTTGAAATTTATCACTTGATCTCCTGACGGAAGAATCCAAGAGAAGATCGAGGGCAAAGGAAGGAGAGCTGAGATGCCCACGGGATGTGCTTTGGTGATTTTGTTTGTTTTCAGTTAATATGATATTCTCAGGAATATGCTGATCTGGGTGTAGGGGACTGTCCACAGTGCTGACTAGTGCCTTAGCATATTAGTGAGATCTCAGTGATTCATATTTATTTCCTATTTCTTCTCTACCTATGAGTTTCTATGGTTTCCCTGTGACTTCCTTTGTATACACATCCTTTAGAGGGACTTTGCTAAGCTCTCTGGAGTTTAGAAACTCTGGCAATTTATAAACCCTGGAGATGGGCAAGTTTAGATTCATGTGGGGCTTAGAGACTTGGAAGAATTGTTTTTTCAGTTGTTTTCAGTTTGTGTAATGAGGCTGGTTTATTTCATTATAAAGCAGGCAGGCCTTACGGTTGGATTAAGGATTTGTTCGCTACTGCATATTTTGTTCAACATTATCTTCTCAGTTAATAGGTTGTATTTTCCTACCTGCTAGGCATGATACAAAACCGTGATTGAGCAGATTTCAAAACTAAGAGGGCATTTCCTTTAGTCTATGGGACATATTTGTTTATCAACGTCTTTCACATGTTAGTTGGTGGCTACTGCTATTTAAACCAAAAAGAAAGAACAGATTTGTATCTGGGACATCATGTTGTGCACAAATATTTAGGACCCTGAATGTGTCTTCATGTTTTTCCAAAGAACTTCTTCAAGAAAACTGAGCTCTCAAATATATTAGAGAGGAAAAAAATTACACGTTAGAAATGCTTATTTCTTTTACTGAATGTTAGGAAATTCCCAGGGAAAAAAAACTTATTAGGATAGAACTAAGTTAGAAGATAAATTGAAATCCTTTGATTGAAAGTAATGTTATTAAAAAGTTTTAATTATTGAGAAGAAAATGTAGGAAAGGCACTCAGAGCTAACATAAAAATGATTGGAAACTGGTAATTAAAACAAAATGCTTGAAAATTAAACATTACAAAATATGAAAATGCAAACTTGGCTCTGATTCATTGCAATACTTAAAACCTGGGATTGCTATTGAATTCTGGGTGGCTGGTTTGAATTCTGCCTACGCTGATGCTGAAAGTTGGGCAAAGGCTGCAGTACTCTGCTGATCGAGGCCACTAGGTTCCAGACCCTATCCTTATTCTCCTCTTTCCTACCACTTACCATCCTCCATTTAGATTTCTACTTTAAAGCAAAATTCTCGTGCTTGCAGAGAGTATCTGGGTGCTACATTCCCTTGGTGTTTTTAAAGTTCACTCGTTTCACCCTTTCAGATACCTAGGGCTTTATTTTGCAGTCTCTATACAATCACTTCAAGTGTGGAGCTGTGTGTCTCTGTAGACAGTTTTCAGAGGTTGCTTTCCTCAAGTGGCAGATTACATTTCTACACAAACATCGCCAGAACAAACTTGGGATCTTCCAGGACTGGGTCTGTATTTCCTCAGGAGCCTTCAATAAGGCAGCTGGCATCAGACAGTTGATTCCTCTGGTCAGTGAGCTGGTTTGGAAGTCTGCATCTCCAAAATATAACAAGGAGTCATGCAATAGGTAGGAGACACCAGCACCTTTCTGTTGACCTTTTTTGTACCAGAAAAGCCACCACCACTCTGATAGCCATAGCCACAAGACACATGCAGACATCTTTTCCTATTAACCCATTGTGTTTTTCTCCATGATCAGAGCAGTGAATGTCACCCTGTTGCCACCCTCTTATGGAAAGACTGCCTCGTCCCTGCGTCAAGGACATCTAGGGGAAACATCCCCAGCCCCACAGAGGACAGCCATGGCTCTTTGCCCACGGTGCTCTTTCCCAGGAGAGACCAAGAGAGAGCAATCAGACTCGGAAGAAGGTAATTTGAATTGGATGTGAAGTTGTTACTAATTTAATGTTTATCCAATAACAAGGACTTTGCAAAACCCCTTACCTTTCCATGAGCCTCAGGTAACACTGTCAATTCATAATTGCTATGATTCCTTTATCCCGTGGTTTAATAAATAATTTACCTAAATTATTAAAATGAAAATTTCAACATTATTAAAAATTAACCAGGTTAAATGAGCAAACAGTAAATAGTGCTGGGCTTGTCCTGCGTGACAAGAGTCCGCAGCTTTTATTGTCTTTTCCCAGGCACAGAGGGTACATTTCTCCCTCCTCCTCTCCCTCCCTCCCTGTCTCCACTTCCACTGCTCTACTCTTGTCTTTCACAAACTCCTTTCCTTGACACTAGTTTTCTCCACAGCCTGTTCTTTCATCTCTGTGTCCTCTTCTCCACTGTTGGTTTACTCTTCCTTCCCATGAGCTCTCTCCTTCCCTGCTGTAGCAGTAGGCATCCGTCTCCTCTCTGCACATTATATTCTGCACACATATGTAGCACAAGATGCCTGGCAGGTCTTTTTGTGTTTTCTCTCTTTGATCCATGGCTGGCAACCCCATCTGATGCCAGAAAGACATAGATCCAGGAGAGCACATGCTATGCAAAGAGCAGAGTTTGTCAGGTCTTCAGGATACGGGCTGCTTCCATTCATGAAAAATGTATTAAAATCTGACTGCTCTTAAAGGATCGCAGTTCTGTCATTTTTAATTGAAACATTCAGTTTGCCCAAAATGAAGTGCTCCATCTTTCAGGCTCTATCTCTTGCCAGGTTTTTTTTTCAACTCTCTGTAATTCCTGCTGAACTGCTCCTTCTGCTGCTTTCTGGCAGAATTCCTCATTGACTTAAAAGGGTTCTCCCCCTCCAGGCTTCATCCTATCCATTTTCCCTTTCAACACATGAGAGTCCTGCAAATGGCCTTTCCTCCTGCCTGGCATTTTTCACCCGGTGCAGACCTCAAGGCACATAGCTGATCTTTTCCTGCAGCTATCTGGGAGAACTGGGCATCCAGCTCCTGTTCAGTTTCGGTAAGAGCATAGTGCCTGCTGAAACACCAGCAAGCCTGTTCATCCCTTCTCTGAAGTGTCCATAACACTGTTACCCTGCTGCTATCTGAGCACTGACAGGCAGATGTGGGCTTCTTAATGTGCTCTAATAACACTCTGCTTTTCTTTCGCTGCTAAGAGACCACAAAGTGAGTAAAGCAACATTTGCAGGCGAAATACAGCTTTGTAAACTGGCTCCTTCCTATCCCTTTCTGAGCAGCCCTTGGGTAGTACCCAGCACTATTACACCTCTGCATAGGATGGAAAACTGAACTGAAAATCCCACCTGTATGCAAAAGCAGAGGTGGTGTGAACCAGAAGATAACTCAGCTGGAACGTGTCCAGGAGACTGTACCTCAAGTGCCTGCTTGTACAATACACCCTGCAAGGTGAAGCCCCAAGGGTATGGTCAAAGTGAAGGCAAATGGATGCGCTGAGACAATAGTGAGACCTAGAGCATATAAAACATGGGAACTGTGTCCGTGGAGAACGTGGCAGTTATTGACTGCACTGTCACATGGCGTAGCCCTTTCCTTCCACAGTCAAAGCTGGTATCTGAATTACTTTGGATTTTAACCACAATTAAAGAGCTAATCAAGGTCAACAGCTCCTTTCAAATACAGTTTAGTACAAAATCCTAATGCAGGAATTACACAAATTGATATTGTCAATATAATGGATTCAAGCCAATTGTGCTAAACAAGGTTGTATCAAGTCTGCACTCTGTATTAGGTGAGGGCTAATTCTGTGTAGCAGCAGTGGAGACAAACAGAAAAACAGATACATCAAGCCTTCACAGTCTGGATTTATTACTGAGGTGGTTTTTACCCCTCTCAAAGAATTCGTTAGTCTAAGAAAACAGTGCCATTCTGAGCATTTGGTTCCATTCAGAAGGCAGAACACACGAAATTGAACGCATGCAATGTATTGGTCTAATATATAGGAGGTAACAGAAGGACCAGTCAAGAATAAATCTAAGTAGCAGCCCTTGGTGAAAAAACACAATGACAAACTGCTCAAGTACCCAAATGTACTGCACTACTTGAGACACCCTGAAGTATCCAAGACACCAAGCATAGCTGGAAGGTGTGACAAGAGACCTGTAGAAAACCCATGTTCTGCCAGCATGGCAGATAGTCTAGAGCATTTCAAATGAACCCTAAGACATGTAATGCTCTCATATCAGGTGGCATCTCAGCCTCTTATTTGCTTTTCCTCTGAGGCACTTCAAAGTTTCACCAATTGCTTTGGCATCCCAGGTGGTGCTTCTTCAGTAGGTGTGAACCTTACGGCTCCCTGTTAGGCATGTGGATCTAGAGACACATCTGCAATCACTCAGGGAATTAGCAATGCTTTTTTTTTCCCCTGTGTTGTTTCCCACCTAGATTCTAATATTTCTGCTGTGAAGCAGTTTGTGGGAGGGCAGACAGGCCTTTTCTTTTAATTGAAGCTAATGGTATCCTCGAAATAGCAAAACCCAAGAAGAGAGGAGGACTTTCTCCAGGCAATGCAGGCCACCCAGGGCTGCAGATGGTGGGGCTCCTGGAGATGGGAAGAACCCTGGGTCTGTAGATGTGAGTTAGCTCCTTCCCTTCACCTCCGCATCCACTTTGTGACTCCTCTCCTCAAAGGAAATGTGTGGAGTGACCCCAGCCCTTGCTCTCACCCTCCAAACTCCTTTGGAAGGGTGGGAGACTGTCAGCCTTTCCGGGGTCCGTGTGAAAGAAGCTAAATGGGACCATGAAGGTGGTAATGGAGTGGAAGCAGAGCAAGGAAAGTCTTGCTGATGGATTATTAGGCACTGTCAAAGTTTCAGCAGAGTGGAAAACTTGGAGGCTGAAGTGAGTAGTAACCCATGAAAAATCACCTCTTCCTTTTCCTGTTCATGGCAGGGCAGCGTGTCCAGATCAAAGCCACCCATCACCGCTCAGGCTCAGTCGCACGATTTACGAGGCACTGGGGCACCAGCCCATTAACAGCCCTGGTAATTCATTGCAAGGGCAACGGGAGGTGTAAATCCCCTCCCCTCCAAACTTACACATTTACTTAATTGCCCCCCCAGTTGCTGGACCTGGACATCAATGGGGCTGATGCTATGAACGAGAAGGGCCACAAGAGGTGCAATGGGAAGGGAGACTGAGGAAAGAGTCTGGTGTGGTCTGTGCAGGTGAGACAAGCATGACCCAAGAGGCAAACCCTCTTTCGTTTGCATCCATTAAGCAGCACAAAATCTCATCGGTTTTAATTGCATTTTGACCTTCCGGAGCTTCTCTCGGCTGTTTCCCTTGGGATCGGTGTTGGAGAAAGAGCATGCTTCATGCACATGGGCAGCTGGAAGGCCTCCACAGTTTTTCAGTGCTTGTGAGACATTGTGCTGTACCACACATGGCAGTCCCTGCTGCCAGCAGCTGGTTCAGAGGCTCAGCAACCCCACGATCGTTGATGACAGCAGGTAACACCATCTAAGGAGACATATGAGGTCTCAAAGTGCTTTGGAACCTCAGCCTCTAAGGTGGAGAACATCAGTCTATGACTCCATCACTTTACTGGTAGCACTCAGACATACTGTCTTCTCTTATGGTCTTCTGCAGCATGCCCACATTCAAAAACAGCTTTGCAGAAAACAAATTCAGATTTACTCTCTGTTTCCTTGCTTCTGTCTACTCTATGCCATTCACTCTCATTCTCTAACTTTACCCTCCCCTTAGTTCGCCAGGTCCCCCTTTCTCACATCATCTTCTACTTTCCTTGCACTAGTATCTTTCTGCTATTTTGTTCTTGACTCCAGTTGTTTCTGGCTTTCAAAAAGTCCCCTTCAGTTTGCTCTTCTCTGACTTTGCTCATTCTTCATATGTTCCCTGTGTAAATGCTCAATTCTGTAACATTAGCTAATATTTGATATCGGGAAACTTTCCCACAGCTGTATGAGTAGGTTTAAAACACATATTTACAAGAAAACTTGGAATGTGAGTTTTCCACTTTGACAATCTGTACTCTAGAATGAAATCCTCATCAGAAGTGGTTACCTTAAAAGCAGCAGTGGAAATAAACGGACTGAGCAGGAAGAGGAGGCTCACCAGTAGAATTAAGTGAGATAAGATGTCCAGATCTCTGCAGTGGAGTGTTTTCTTGCAAATATTTTCCAAAATTCCCTTAAAAATGGCCTTTGAAAAGTTAATTCCACTGCAGCTTCTTTTGTATCATTTTGAAGTTATCACTCATCATTTCTTTCTGAAGCAAAACTAGCAACAGATTTCCATGAGCAATTTCCCTCAGAAACCCGTTTTCTTTTTCATACTATGAAGTTCAGAAGAAATACACCTAATTTCCCAAGCACTTGTGCTTCCCAAGTGCTTGCAGTGCACTTGACCCCATGGTTGTGGGAACAGGCAGATGTTCCTGCAAGACAGGAGAGCCCTGGTTTGGGTCAGTAGGGGACAGGGAAGTGGCCAGCTAAATGAGGATGAGGTCTGAAAGTTTCCTGTTCCTCCTCCCACAGCAAATGTTCATCCTTAAAACATGACCAAGAATGAGAACTGGGCAATGATTTTTGGTTAAAAGATAACCAGAAAGGGGGGAAGTGGAGGAAAAATGCAAATAAGAGACTGGTCTGGCTGGGAGAAAAGGACATTGTTAGGGTAACAATTTGTGAGGAGAATCTATGAAATTTGGGTCATAAATGCTCGTGACTCTTGAAAATGTGATTTAGGCACTTCAGTGCTTTTTAGGTGCACGAAATTCATTGCTGGTTAAGAGGAAGGAACACAGAAATGTAGTGATTCCATGAAGTACTTGTATTAGAACTAAGGAAAGTTGGGACACTTTGCCAGTTGTAACTTACTGGAAAGCAGATCTCAGCCACACACACATCTTCTCTGGGGTCTGTAACCCTGGGAGGACATGAGAAGGAGATGAGGAAAGGTTTTCATGGCTTGTCTGTGTTATTTTCCCAGAAAGGAGCCTCATAAATGTTCTTGGATGTTGCCATGGGAGTTACAGCCAATTTAGGACTTGGGGTTATGGTTCATTCTGAGCTCTAAAGGCAGATGGCTCAACTTTGACAATAAGACAGGAAGAGGAGGGATGAGATGAAGCCATTCAGCAGAGAGGGAGAAATGAAACAGGGCCATGAGTTGCCAAACCTTTGATACTGCATGGAAGAGAAGTCCAGCGTGTGAAAGGGCAGAGCTTCCAACAGGTCTTGCAACACATGTGAAATCCATCAGGGTCACTGTTCCCATGGTGTTCTGTTGTCTGAGCCATAACACGACACCCTACGGGGAGGGAAAGGCATCCTGTAGGCAGGGGGAAGAGCTATCTATGCTTTTAAGAGGTTGGCTGGGAACTCAGAGAACACTTTATGGTGGTTACACTCTGAATTTATAGTTTCCTCCTCTTGCTTTTTAATGTTCTCCTGCCAAATTACCTACGGTTTGCCCCATAACTTCAAGCTGCCCTGTGGTCTGACATGTCCCAGCACCACCTGGGACAAATGAAAGAATACAAAACAATTTGTCAAAGAAGAGAAGGGCTGCACTCAGAATGTAGATTCTTCTCTGGACATAAACCTTAATTGTCCAGACCCTTAGGTCAGGATGTAATAGATTTGCCCTCTTTTGATAGGGCAGTGGTGATGTTTAGATGCAGATCAGATCTGAGAAACTTGGGAAGGAGGCACGTGTGCAGTAGAAGAGGAGATCTAGTGTAAGTGTGAACACCCATGGTCACATCATTTCACTCACAATAGACCTTTTTCAAGAGTAAGCACAAACAGCACATCTGGAAGTGCCTGCTAAACGGTGGTGCAGCATGTATGAAAGAGTCCCAGGACATGATCAGTTCATTTCCCTCTGCTTTTCTGAGAGCAAAAAGCATTGTCCCTGTCAGTCTCTGTGCCATTGTCTGGCCTTCTAAGCGGACCCTCAAAATTGAGGCCATGTACTCCCAGTGGAGAAAGTCTTCCGGTAATAGAGGAGAAGAGCAAACAACATGACCTTTGTTTCAGAGAGTTAGTCAGTATCTATAACTGTTTGTCTGTGTGTTCTGGGGTCTGCCTATGTCTTTATCTTCAACAAGTGCTTTTCTCATCTCCCAGGCTGTGCCCCACTCTGTCCCTCTGCAGCTGACCCATCTCTCCTGCCATCCCTGTATCTTCGTAGTGGGGAGCACAGGAGCCGAGGCTGCCATGTGTGGGTTTCCAGCCACATGTGTCCTCCCCAGGAGCAGAAATGCAACCCCAGCAGTGGGAATGAGCTGCTTTATCTCTCAACTGCCCTCCCCGGTGCTGTGTTCCAGCAGCTCACCTCAGTGGCTCTAAAATAATTAGGAGGGAGGTTTGGAGTTTCGCACGCCCCAGCAGATACAGACAGGACAACTCGTCTGTTATTGCAGCCCCAGCACACAACACTGTGTAATGGCGTGGGGAATCCTGAACTTGGAAACCCCTCTTTGACCTTTGTCTGAGAGTAGGGTCATCCCTAATATCCGGGATGGATGCTGGTTGAGCTCACATACCAGTCTTTTTCAGCTGCAGAGCAGGGAACCCAAACATCCCGACGCAAGGCATCACCTGCTAACTCAAGCATTAAACATTAATCCCGGTTGGACTTTCACTCCTCCGTCTCTGAGGTGGAAGCAGATTAGGAATTTGATCTCTCAAGATTACTGCATGAAAGCCGCCCTTGGAAAGGCTCCCTGTAGCCCGTCCATCTCTTGTCTATCTCTTTGGGGTTTTGTTTTCCATTAGATGCTGCTGCCCTTTGGGCTTTTGGGGGGTTTGTTTTTGAGGTTTTCTTCTTTCACCTCCTGGGGGATTGCAGAGGACCTGGAGGGTGCTCAAGTACCTGGATCCCAGGATGAAAATCTGGGGGAACCCCAGTGGTTGTGAGACCTTCTTTGAAATCATGGTGCCTCCATTGTCGGGGTCCATGGCCAGAGCAGAGCCCGAGGGTTTTTGTGGGACTGTAAGGATGCAATGGCTGCAGGAGAGTTAAAACCCACTGCATGCAGTAGTGGCTACTTTACCCTGTGGGCAGGGTGAAGGAATAACCTCTAGCATGGTATAAAAGGGCTCATCTGAGGTGGGCACAGGGACAGATCTGGCAAAGAAGGCTGGAGGGTATCAAGGCGGTATGGAGAACAAGGTTTTCTCTCTGTCGCCATGGGGACCCAGGCTCTGGGTATTCACTCTCCCATTTACCTCCGGAAGGACCTATATATTTTCTCTGTCCTTTCTGTCTGGGTATGGCTGTGCAGGTTGGGTCATCTGCCCCACGGGGACTCTCCCCTTGCTGACTTGCTTCAGCAGCACCAGTCTCTCAGATCACGACTTCCAGTCTTCTGGTACTTGCAGAAGGGCTTTGTAGACACACACTGGGTTTCTTTGCTTTTGTTTCAAAAGTCTGAAGACTTCACCCTCCTGACTAAAAAAGCTTTAACCTTTCTTGCCCACAAAAATGCTTCCTTCAGTGTGCTGTCTCTAGGAGCTGAAACTCGCAGGAAACAAATAAAAGGCACCCGGTACGAGGCAGCTGGTGACAGAACCGTGTTCTAGCATTGTCATCTGTCAGAAGCCCTTCCCTGCCTGCCCTCTATTTCATAGAATCATAGCATCAACTGTGTTGAAAAGACCTTTTAAGATCATCAAGTCCAACCGTTACCCCAGCACTGCTAAGGCCACCATTAAACCATGTCACCGAGGGCCTTGTTTACACTGTTTCTGAATGCTTCCAGGGCCGGTGATTCCAGCACTGCCCTGGGCAGCCTGTTCCAATACCTGAGCACCCTTTTGGTGAAGAAATGTTTCCTAATATCCAGCCTAAACCTCCCCTGGCACAGGTTGAGGCCTTTACCTCTTGTCCTGTCACTGGTTACTAGGGAAAAAGAGACCAGCCACCTCCTGGCTCCATGCTCCCATCAGGCAGTTGTAGAGAGACATAAAGTCCCCCCTGAGCCTCCTCCAGACTATTCCCCCCCAGGTTCCTCAGCTGTTCCCCATCACACTTGTGCTCCAGGCCCTGCACCAGCTCCATTGCCCTTCTCTGGCCCCGCTCCAGCACCTCAATGTCCCTCTTGCAGTGAGGGGCCCAGAACTGAGCACAGGATTCGAGGTGCAGGGGGATTCTTACTCCATTAAATAGCCATTTCTCCACTGTTTTGGCAGTCACACATCAACACAGAACCATTGCTTAAAATGACCAGTTCCCCAATGACAGACCTACAAATGATTCGAAACAACAGAGTGCCATTCTAAAATTGTTGTTTTGAACATGACAGTGACTGAACTGCCACAAAAAAGACCAGACGCTCCTGAAGGCTGACTTTCACAAAACAACTCCCTTTAAAACCATCCCGACACTTTGTTCTCCCAGCACCTCCCTCAGTGCCATTGTAAAAGCTCTGCTCTCAGTAGATGAGCTGCCACCAACTTCCCATCATGCTCATTTTAAAGATTCATTTAACCAGGCTTTAGGCTCAGAAATTTTTTAATTGGTTATTTAACAGATAAATGCAGCGGGTACTACAAGAACAGGTTTTCAGTATAGGCAAAGAAAGTGTCTATTCACGTCATGTGACAAATAAAATGAGCTCCTTTTAAGAAAACG